AGAAATTCCTGGTTTCTAAATCTTTTTTTTTTTATTTCTTATAGCATAACTGTGTACATTAATGCAATCATGGGATACAGTGTGCTGTTTTCATAGACATTTTGAAATATTCTCATCAAACTGATTCTAAATCATTTTTAAGATGATGAAATGATAGAGCCTTTCCGTTCCTCCTCATGAGACTCACTGTGTAGCCCAGGCTGGTCTGGGGCATCAAGGCTGCAGTGACCTCTCACTCCAGCCTCCCGAGTCTGCCCAGCAATGATGGGACCCCTGATAATGAGAGTATAACATGGATTGGAAAAGGAAACAAAATTTGTTAAAGGAATGTAATTTTCAACCAACAGTTTGTATATAAAGCACGTGCCCTTATTTTAGAAGTATATAGACTTTTTAGAGATAATACTTTATGTTAATAAATTCTTCTGTCAACATCCCATAGCCATTTTTATTTCATTTGGTTGTGTCAGCTATTCTGGTTTTCTTGTACTGACTAGTTTGTGATTTTTCTTTTGATTCAAAATTTGGTTGTGTTTGGTAGAGATTCTTTGGTTTTCAAATACATGGAAACTTTATTTTATTGTTTTTTGTTTTTTTTTTTTTTTGAGATCAAAGAATAGTAGAAAGAAGAATTTTAGAATTATTACAAGGCTATAAATGAAAACACATATTTAACTGAAAAATAGGGTTATCTATTTGGAACCAGGTATAATGCACATAAATTGAATGTACTCACGGTTCTTTTTGGCTGTTTTCTTTTTCCTTATACTAGAAGTTAGTTGGCTTGAGGTGGAAAAAAGTCACAGATTAGCCAATTTGCATATATGTTAAATGCTTACCACATTTGTCAGATTTGAAGTAAGTTTATAAAGATCAGAAGACTTACGCCCGTCAGTGTAATGTGTGTATTTTACAAAGTGTTGGCTCTTTCTTAGGTTACATTGAAAAAGTGTCTTTTTGAAATCAATTTTGAAATTGACTTCATTCTAGCTGTTGTTTTCTCTTTTCTTCCCTGTAATGTCTCCCCAATCCATGTTTTTTCCTAGCCTTCAAGATGGTCAGCAAGGCCTGCAGTCCACAGCCCAGGTCAAAGTCCAGTCCCGCCCCCCTTCCCAGGCTGCAGTGCTCAGTGCTAGTGCCTCCTTGCTGGTGAGAAATGGGAGTGTCCACTTAGAAGCATCACATGACAATGCATCTGCTGTAGGCGGTAGCAGTTTGCACGATGAACTTGGTATGCAGGCCTCCTTGGTGATACAAAACTTTAATGCAGCAGATAATGGGTAACAATGATTGCAATTTTTTCTTGAGATAGCTTCATTTCGGAACTATACAGTAGGAGCACCTTTTATACAGGATTAGTCTGTTGTGTAAGGAAAATTTGACTTTTGCTTTTTTCTTTCCTGTTTCTCTCTACTCTTCTACGTTTCCTTTACGTCCATCCTTAATAGGTATTTGAGTATCATCTTAAAATGACTTGGGCAATTTTCCTAGGCATCTGTAGCATGTGGGAAAATGTTGATTTTTAAAAAAAATGATTTAACTACACCTTGATTTCTTTGAATTCTTTGAATGTGCTATAGAAAAGGGGGAAATGCTTTCTAAGTGTCTGTTACTGAAGAATCTTTCATGTGTTCTTTTGCAATGTGTGTATCACCTGTTGGAGGAGATACACTAATTCACAATGCAGTTCTCTGAGCACTGCACTGTGGCTCTGTATTAGTATGAAAGAATACCTTTATAAAGTTTCTTTTTATTAATACATTTATAAATAAATGTAGGAATTATTACATAGTATCAGAGATGTGGTATCATTTAAAACCTCAGTAATACCCACTCAAGTATCTGCCTTTTGTATTATTTAAGGATGACATGTTATACTACTTTGGGTTCTGTCTCTGTATAATCCAGCTTTCTTGTGTTCACAGTGCTGTGTAATAATATAATGCAGAAGACAATTTCATTATTCAAATACTTGAAGGCATTTATTCATTGTGATTTTATTATCGATGTTATAACTGCTTTTCACTTGTGAAGGTGCTAATCTAGTTGATGCCTTAACTTGATGAACATGAGGTGTAAGGTGCCCAAATTAGGCTTAATACAACATTGTATGCTATCTGTTCATTGACTTTTTTTCTATTTGGTAAAAAGTCTTTAGTTATAGAGAGGTATTACTAAATATGCATGCATACTGATGAAAATAACCTTTAGCAAAATCTTACAGAAACTTAAAAATGGTCATCTAAGACATTTATAATAATTAGAATATATGGTGGTTTCTAAATAAAATGAGAAGGCAAAAAAAATTTTTAATTTTAAATTTAGAGTGTGTTTGCATTTGAGCTTATAATTTGGAGAGGCAAGAAAATATATAAGGAGGTGCTGGAAAGAGTAAGTAGACCCTAATTTAGCTACTAATTTTAGTTGTCTGTGATACTTTTCATTGCTTATATATTCAATTATATAATAACTGTATATTGGTATTTCTCTTTGGTTAACCCAGAGTTCCCACAGAGGAAGGATTTATGAATCTGCAAATATGAAATTATAGTTAATATCTCATTATCCATTTACGGTGGAAAATTAGCTAGAATAAAAGGTTTTATTTTGATCCATTATGAATTTTTGGAATTTTATCAGATCAAGCATAAAATAAAACTGTAGGTGATTTTCCTCTAAAAAAAATTTTTAGTTTGGGGCGGCACCTGTGGCTCAGAGGAGTAGGGTGCCAGCCCCATATGCCGGAGGTGGCAGGTTCAGACCCAGCCCCAGCCAAAAACTGCCAAAAAAAATTTTTTTTTTAGTTTACTCAAAAAATTTGCTAAGCAAACTTTAATTATAAAGCCCCTTTCTAATGCCACATGCAGATCATTGAAATATTTATGTATCAACTGTCTTGAAGATTCTGAGGTGACCTTGCTGTCTGCTGATGAATATTTAGCGTATTATCTTGTAATTCTGATTTTTATCTTTTGTGGTAACTGCTTTCTGATAACTAGTTTTTAAGCTGTGGTAGCTGAATGCTGCCAAATTGAATGCTCAGTTAATAATTACCACAAACCAGTCAATGGAAAGTGTATACCTGTTGCATAGCCCAAAAGGTTGGCCACAAAAAAAGATTCTGAAAATGAGCTGCAGCTGAACTTAAATTGATAGAGTAGCTAGAGTAGTTTATTGTGTACTTCAATTATTTATGTAATTTTAATTAGCTGTAGTAAGAAAATGTGTGAATGAATGTGTGCACTATCTACTCAGATATGTTAAACTTAGCTATGATAGTCCCTAAAAGGATGGAATGTTTATATAGGTTTGCTTCCTTCTGAATTCAGCTTCATCTATTAAAATTGTTTAAACAATTTTTACATGTGAAGATATATACATATATAATGCATTTATATAAAGCACTTATATACACAACTGTTCATATATACATATGTACATATAGAAACACCCAAATGTACATGTACACTCATATTGTGTATGTTTGAGGGTAAATGTTTACGTATTTATATTTATGCCCTTTTGGATTAAAGGAAACTCAACCAGTCATCATTAAAATCCAGGCTTAGATGGTTTGACTAAACTGTGTTTTCTACATCCTTATTTTGTGGTATCTATGATAAATAACCACATCCATTTCCTATCCTAAATTCTGAGAATCCTTATTTCTGTGTTGTTGGGTTTTTAGTTTGTTTGTTTTTTGAGACAGTCTCACTATGTCACACTCAGTAGAGTGCTGTGATGTCACAGCTCACAGCAACCCCAAACTCTTGGGCTCAAGCAATTTTCTTGCTTCAGCCTCTGAAGTAGCTGGGACTACAGACACCTGCTGCAGTGCCTGGCTGTTTTTTGGTTGTTGTCATTATTGTTTAGCAGGCCTAGGCTGGGTTCGAACCCCCCAGCCTCAGTGCATGTGGCCGGCGCCCTAACCACTGAGCTATGGATGCCGGGCCATTTTGTGTTGTTTTAACTAGCACTTTAGGGTTACCAGGTTAACATTGGGTATCATGGTAAGATTCATTAAACATAGTATTGTAAGGGTTTTATTAGTAGCTTATTCAGCAGAGGATAAAGTACAGTATTTGCATCATGTATCCAGCAGTTATCATTGTTCATCATAATAAACTTTAGAAATGAATTCTAAGTCATATAATTTAAAAAGAAAAGCTTAGTTTCCTTTCTTATTTATAGCTTTCATTCCTGTGTAAATCTATTTTTAAAAAAGTTCAAATGACATAAATGATGGATGAGTTTTTGTTTTTTTTTTAATTGGATATTTTTAAGACTTCTTTTTTTTTTTGCCGTTTTTGGCCAGGGCTGGGTTTGAACCTGCCACCTCTGGCATATGGGACCAGCACCCTACCCTTTTGAGCCACAGGGGCTGCCCCTTAAGACTTGTTTTAATAACATTTGGTGGATTTCTTTTTTTTTTTTCAGAATATAAAGTAATTCAAGGTGATAAGATGAAATTATTTCCAAGTTAAATAAAATAACTGAAATTTAAGAAATAAGTTCTTTAAATTATAGCTGTAGTATTAACGGAGTTTTGAAGTTAACATCTTTGAAAAGGAAATTTCTATCAGAAAGATCAGTCTTCTTAGACTTGGTAGTTGCTGTTGATTTTATACTCTTTTCTGTGTTAAACTTAATACTAAACAAAACAAGCTGTGGTTTGAGTGCCCAGATCCAGTCACACAAGAGACTCTGAATTTAAGTAACCTTAAATCGCTGTTTTGTATTTGCTAAATTTTTCTATAATATTTGGCAATTCTGTTTTTATATTAATCTTAGCTTCCTATTATAAATCAAGACTAAAAAAAAGATGCAATGGTGAAATACACTGATATTGATAGTTTGAATTGAAGATAGTTTGAGATTGAAGTTGATAGTTGCACTCTTAATGTGTAATGTATCTCAGAGGAAATGTAGATAAGATCAGAGAGAACAGGAAAATTGGCCTGTGTTTTTTTCTGTGTATGAAATTAGTGGTGAGGGTAAATTTGAAAAAGTATACATATAGTTATTATTTATTTTATGTGAAAAACCAAAAGATTGCTGTTACTATAATACACACAAGAAATGAGGACTACAGAGTTTATCAAGACATAATTATAAAAGACATAAAAACGTGGGTACTGTTTCTCTTAGACTTAATTTGATTACTGTATTAGAGGCTTAAAAAGGGATGGCTTAAATTGATTTTTCTGAGGTTTTCTTTTGTTTCATTACAATAGAAGGATAGATGAAGGAGGTATTTTTGAGATAATATGCTTTACTACAGAGCTGATTAACATGAAGATGTAGTCAGCTCTAGGAAAGGACTGGAGGGAAACCTGTAAGCAGTTTATAGCAGCTATTCATTTAAAAGCAGAAATATAATTTGGAGGCTTTAAAATTTTTACTGTAAAAAAGAGGCTCAGATGACCTGTAATACTTTTGGTGGTTTTTATTAGTGTTAGTCTTGATGTTTATATGTGCATATATGTTACTCTGTGACGTTGTGCTGTAAGTAGGTTTCATTGTTTGTACAGTTACAGAGTCACAGGACTACAAGGGACCTTGGACTTTATACTTCAGTTCCCTCTATTATGGTAGATTATTTTCATTCATCTGAACAAAAAAGGTTATATTCTTTTGTCTTGTCTTTTATTATTTTTGAGTATAAAAAGAACACTAAATTCTATTTTTTGATCCTTTTTGGGATGAGGGGCAACAAAGTATATGTAAATGAAAGTAAAGTGTTTATTTTTATTAAAATAAAAATATACTTCATTATATCTAGAAGGAAGAATTTTTTTTTTTTTTGGCTAGGGCTGGGTTTGAACGCGCCACCTCTGGCTTATGGGGCTGGTGCCCTACTCCTGAAAGCCACAGGCACTTCACTAGAAGGAAGAATTGTTAAGTGGTTTTGGGGGTATATTCTACTTCTTTTTGGTAAAATTAGAATGTGCTTTTCTCATCCTTATTAGAGAAGTATAAGTTTACAAATACTGGAAAATATAATAGAGAAAATTAAGTCATGTGTAATTTCATCAGTCAGAAATTAACTATTAATATTTGGTAATTTATCCCTTTCATTCTTTAATATACACATGTATATACTTTTCTAAAATAGAATTATATGTTTTGTGTGACTTTTGTGCTGTGTATGAGCTTTGTATCTTTTCTCAGCATGTCTGAACACTTACATGTTTTTACTGTTCTTGAACATGTTTTTAAGTGGTTGCATAG